CACATTCAAATCTTTCCTACACCTCCTAATACCTCTCTTATTTCCATGACTAACCCTCCTCACGTTTCTTTATCACCTCGCACCGGTAGGGCAAACGATTCGAGTACGCCGAACGCTATTCCTGGTCTCCTGAAACCACGCTCTAAACTACACGTAGGATCTTTTAACGTACGAACACTGTGCCAAATAGGACAGCAGGCTTCCTTAGCTAGGACTTTAGAATCCCGCGCCATCGATGTGTGCTGCGTCTCCGAAACGCGCATACAGGATCCGAGTAGCGTCACTCATTGGACCTCACCATGCCAAAATAAAGAACCAACTCGATTCACACTTCGTGTATCTGGAAGCCCTGATTCTGCTTCCCGTGGCCTCGCCGGCGTAGGTATAGCATTGAGTCCTAGGGCAGAACTAGCTCTCTTCGACTGGATCCCAGTAGACAGTCGTTTGTGCGCTGTCCGACTGAACGGAACAGTAAGAATCCGGAAAGATAGGGACACTCGTCGTTGCCTCTTCGTCGTCACTGTTTTCTCTCCCACAGACTGCAGCGCAGATGATGTAAAAGATGAGTTTTACAGAAAGCTTTCCGACCTTCTCCGAAAAGCTAGGCGCTCTGATGTAGTAATAGTGGCCGGTGACTTTGATGCTCAAGTAGGTAAACTAAGCGAAAGGGAAAGACACCTGGGTGGATTTCATGTTGTCGTGACTCAAAGAACAGATAATGGCGACCGTCTGTTACAGCTATGCTCACATAACCGCCTGGTTCTTGCAAATACTAACTTTAAGCATAAGGAAAAACATCTTTTAATATGGCGACCCCCTAATTCGTCCCAACGTTGGACCCAAATAGATCACATCACTATCAGCCACCGATGGAGGGGCTCGCTGGAAGACTGTCGCTCATTCTGGAGCACATGCTTAGATTCAGATCATGCTCTAGTACGAGCGCTTATCTGTCTGCGTCTTACTGGACGTAGGAAAGACGCTGCAAGTAAACCTCTTAGGGCCCCACCTTATGACAGTCAAACTAAGAGTATACTTCAGGAACAACTAGAAAAACAGTTAGGCAGCCATGTTTGTGATGCCCACCCCGAGGCAGCATGGAATGATATCTGAAATGCTGTGGAAACAGCAGTGATATCTGCTAGTACGGTAAACCAAATGGTTAGGGAGAAACTCTGGATCTCAGCAGCATCTACTGCACTGATAAATGCTCGAAAATTCATTCCATCTGGCTCTGAACATAAAGAAGAGCGGAGTCACCTTCAGCGCAAGTTGACAAGAAGCCTACTCAATGATCGTAAACAGTGGCGGGTAGCGAAACCTGACTGGTCTCAATCACTGATTGTGCCAGTCTATAACAGAGGACAAAAGTCCTCTTGTGACAATCACAGAGGAATCAGTTTGACTAATATAATGTCTAAAATATTAGCTTCGATAATACTTCGACGCCTAACTAAAGCTCGTGAAGATCAGACTAGAGAAAACCAGGCTGGTTTTCGACCTGGATGTGGTTGTATAGACCAGATATTCAGATCAAATATTCAGGTTCTAGAACATAGACACACATTCAGACGCCCCACAATGGTAGTATTTCCCGACCTTAAGGCGGCATTCGACTCTGTTGATCGTAAGGTTCTATGGCAGTGTTTGTCACTGAAAGGAGTACCAAAGAAGTACATTAACCTTATACAGGCTCTCTACTCGAACACAAGTGGTAGAGTGAGAGCTTATGGCGAACTGTCATCAGAATTGATTACCTCAAGTGGTGTTCGTCAGGGCTGTCCACTCTCTCCATTCTTGTTCAACTTTGTGATCGACGTACTTTTAGAGATAACACTCTCCTCATCTAAATTTCCAGGGGTTGAACTTCTACCAGGAGATTCACTTGTTGACTAAGAATATGCAGATGACATAGTTCTATTTGGTGAAGTCTTCTGACCATTCTAAGCAATAATGCAAGCATTTCGGCATGCGATTCTCTCCCCCGAAATGCAAAATGTTGCTTCAGGATTGGGTTGCATCGACACCCGAACTAATGATAGGGAGTGGAGTAGTTGAGCATGTCGACCGCTTAACTTTTCTTGGAAGTCTCATCAGCCCTTGTGATCTGGTGTGTGACGAAATCTCAGCACGGATACAGAAGGCTCGACTAACTTTTGCCAACTTGCGTCATTTATAGCGTAGGCGAGATATCCGTCTATCAACCAAAGGACGTGTTTACTGCGCATCAGTTCGTTCCGTCCTACTTTATGGCAGTGAAACATGGTCGGTAAGGGTAGAAGATATTCGTAGGTTACTAGTATTTGATCTTAGGTGTCTTCGAAATATATCCTGGGACTACTGAATACGGGATGCAGTTGTTAGGAAACGGGTACTAGGTAAGGATGGCAAATCGATTGATGAAGTAGTGGAACTTCATCAGTTGAGATGGCTGGGACACGTGTTACGTATGCCCAACAACTGACTGCCCCGACGTGCTATGTTTTATAGTGTAGGAGTTGGTTGGAAGAAAGCGGGGGCGGATGGACCAAAACATGGCACAAGTCTGTGAAGTTACTGACAAGTGGTCTCGACGAACCCTTCTACGGTGTAAGCGACTAGGAAATGATAATTGCCCTCATTATTCTAACAGCACTTAAAACCACTGTATTTACCAAAAACTTCACTGTCATTGTATAAATACACACCAGTCTTAAGTAATATGTCAAGTTATTAGTGTTTCATTCCTAGCTTTTATTTCGTTTCAAAATCATTTGCATTGGCTATGGTATAATAATTGTTATAACGCTCGGATTTACTTCGTCTACACGTATGGGACGTTAATTTACCTTAGACGAATACCTACACTAGATTCCTTCCCAGTGTCTATTCTACAGGACTTCAACACAACTCAGATCAAGAACACGTGATTAGCCTGACTAGAAAGTAAATATATTTCCACACCAAAAACCGACAACAAGCCGACACAACCCAACTGCAATCAACAATCAATCAACCAATAATAATAATAATAATAATAATAATAATAATAATAATAATAATAGGGATAGGGAAATATATAACACCTGTCAGATTATTTACATGCCTGACTGAACAAACAACCAATCACCATCATTGTCGCCCACATATCAATAATTCATATACATATTAGTTGTTTAATTTTTTTATTCATGTTTAAAACTGCGATTCTCTCTTTTGAGTTGCATACATGCTGTGTGGATTACCTCATATTAAATAGAGTGGCCAGCAGCGGAATACAAGATGCGCGTTTCGTCCTATTTGAGAGTGGTTAGCTGCACTCGTACCTGTACTCCAGAGTTGGTGTATATACATCAACATCAACAATGGGGTGCAGGTGCATTCACTTAACAAGTATCAAATATGACGGAACGACGGTCTTGGAATCCATTGCTAGCCACCATCCATCTCTGCTTAAAATGTTTGTAATAATACTATTCATTATAACTGTCCGCATTTGCATATGATGATAAGTCTCGAAATAAAATACATTCATTTTACTCTCCCAACCTTGTTGTTCCTGATTTTCTAATTTACCTACTATTCATCTTATAGTAAGTATTAAAAATAAGTAATTGAATTATCTGAAGGAACAGTTTAAAACATCCCTTCAGACTTCTTTTTTAAATAAACTACAATGGTGTAGGGATTTTGTGGAGAGTCGTTTAATTTGTCACGAACTAACCTTTACGGAGGTGCTATTAAAAACCAGAGGTCACTGGACAGCTGTTCCGTTCTAGTATTTGAATGCTAAACAGTGTTCAGTCAAAATAATTTCATATTAGTGGGTAATTATAACTTTACTGTAAATTTACTTACATGTTCTATATTTGATGTGAACAGAAAAACAAAGAAGCCATGACAAACAACGCAAGCTATTTTTAGAAACGTTATTTCATTTAATTCGAAGCTTGTAAAACACTAATATTTATTTTTGTCGCTAAGTTACTATACAAACCATAAGGTTTCGTTTGATATATGGTGCACTGTTACACGCTGTTCTGTTCCACAGCTATTGTAATTTAAATATAAGCTTTGGTACTCTATTTTTCCACCCTAATGCTCAGCTTGGATATAGTTGTATTTTTATAGTTGTTTGAGTTGTAGTCGTATTAGTCATCTATCTATTCATGTATCGTTTTACACTAATCTGAACTGGAGTTAAGAATCGGAGTCGGAAATAAGTCGAGTAGTGATCCAGTCGACTCGTCTACTCTCTCTCTCTCGCTTGTCAACCAATCAAATAATAGAATAGTTTACGTCTCTCTACCCAAGACAGTCTAAATTCGGAATCTTGCATTCTAGCCTCAAGGTTAAACCAGTTAGCCTATCGTTCAAGGCCTTAGCCTAGATCAATACGGGTTATCTTCTGTTTATTACTGGGTAGGCAGATCAAGGACGTAACAAAATTTATAATTATTATAACTGTTGTAGCACTAATATTTGTACTCAAATGAATGAAGTGATGGAAAATATTAACGTTGTAGTATTATTTACCAATGGTTACAATTCTTTTTGCCTATGACAAGACAGAAAGAGATACCATGGAATGTTCTGTGTGACCAACATTTTGTTGAATAACTAACTCTTTATTGTATTGTTTTAAGTAGAAAGTATAAGTATAACTCGTTTTCATGTTGCATTCTAATATCTTTTCGGTTGAGACTTCAGACTATAACCGATAAATAATTATCATATCCGTTATTTTATCCATACTGGTAGTTTATAACAATCAGTTATATCCTTATTATAGTTGACTGATTCTAGTTGTGTTGGTACTCACTAGTTGCGAAATATATAAAGTGATTGGTAATACAGTATGTATACTGAATATGATGAGAATACCATATATGAATTCCATCAACTACTGTTCTACATAGACTTAGTAAATGCCTAAAGTTTTCATACAAATTGTAAACTAGAATACAATAAAATGTAGAAATAAAAATTGAAATGAATATCAATTCATATAAACAACTTACTTTTATTTTTAATTTTCATGCAGAATGATATATATACTTCAATTAGATTGTGCAAAAATTGACCCTTTTTTGAATTATGTACAATTGTGTATAATGGTATTTGTTTCTTTAAAACAAATTATTATTTTCAATAAAAAATGTTCAATGTAATCAATTGAAATAATTCTCAATAAGAATTTTTGTTTTAAAAATTTTGTATACTAGAAAGATTATTTTAAATTTCCTCATTTATTGTAGCCAATAATTAAGTGTTATTTACTTTTATGATAAATTAATTACTATTAGTAAATGAATTCAATTGGATTTATTTTACTCATTTTAATTTATGAACTATGTGAAGATTGAAATGCTTTTTTTGTCTTTTCCTGTTGTCATTGATTTCTAAGATTTAAAAAAAGGAAATAAAGTTCATCTCTATTTATATATTCGTTTATACCATCAAATAAAATAATGCAGCCTTGAAATAAGCCCAGACCAGTTTGATGGGCAAAACATTGAAATGATTTCAATTTCAATTCCTAAGTTTGTTTAAAATACAACTTAACATATAAAAACTTGAATATTGTTCAAATTTTAACCTTCCATTTACAGACACACATAGATGAGACACATAACAAATGTACACATAAATGATAGTCCAATTTGTTAACGTATATATATATATAATGACATACATATACACCAATCACTTTTAAGTTTAAACTTAGTCTGATATGTTATTGGTTAAATATGAATTACAGTCTGATATAAATTGTACATCAACGGGTGTGAACTTTGAGTATGTGTGGAGGAGAGATAGTTTTCTGGGACTAGTTTGTTGTTATATCTATGACACTTATGTTGTATTCCCTACTTTGATAGTAAGAATAAATGATTCACTAAACTTCATTACTTTGTTATACTCATAACATACAGTAGCTACTCATCAGTGTTTTTCTGTTTAACTTAATTCTGACCTGGAATAAATGTACATTTGAAAACTGGCATACGTGAATTTATATGCACATTACCTTCATTTATACTATTGCAAATGCAAAATTGAGATACATGTTCAATGTAGATAGGATCTGAGTGGCTACTACATTATAATTCTAAATTTAGGAAATATGTACACATAGGCACCTTCATGTTTGAAGCGTATGAATATCAATCATTTCATGCAATTAGTTCCCTTTATGAATTTAAATAAAACCAGAACCCACATGAATGCATAATAATATGGATTCATTATATTTCATCGTTTCTCATCAGCTGCTTACAACCAGATGTGTTAAAATTTACATTGTAGTAACATAAAGTGTGAAACAATTGACATAAGTGAATGTAAAGAGTTGGAGTGACAATGGTTATCGGTAATAATTTTATATATCTGTACAAGAACAGGTCCGAGGTAATCTTATGTCAGAATAAAAACATGAGGGGTAGGTGATGTGATAATTTCAGAGGTAATGAAGAGTTTGCACAAAGTTCCTGGAACTAAAAAGCAAACTGGTAAGGCGGGTTGCGTAATAATTGAACAAGATTTGAAAATTTTGCAGATCACCAACGTAGATGATCTATGTCGAATAACTGGAAGCCTACTCGAGTTAGACAGGAACGGTGTGACGAACCAGCTAATTTCGTAGTCACACCTCGCGGTCAGCATCTAACGTGTACTACCCCTTCGACGTATCAAAGTACTATGGCTACTTTGAAGACCGTATAACACAAAGGACGTTACTACGGAAATATATTAGTAAGAATGAGTACAAAGAAGATATCGAGACCACCACCGCATGCGCCAGTTCATGACATACGATTAACTGATGCGCATTGATTGTCCTTGACCTTGACAGGGATCAATGATCTGTTCGAAATTCAGTGATCCAACTGCCAGATGGTTTGGCTAGGGCTCAGTGACATTTCAATGGTCCTACAAATTCACATAATTTAAGAGAATTGATTGAGTGAAAATATATGAGTGAAGGGGGGTAGTTCAAATGTACATAAAATAAGAATTCAGTAATGGAAGAGCAATATAACAAACTAAACATTAACACAATAAAACTAATGACCAAAAAATTAAATTATCAAGGTAGTAATAGGCTTATTACTGTCCCTTTTTGAGTGCATAGATTAGGTTTGAGTTTTTTATTGCAATTGCTTCAGCAAACCGAAGTGAAGCTGTGCTTCTTTATCTGCTAATAATTTTAAAAGCTTGAGGAATGTCAATGGTATGCTCGGTGTCGAGTAAATACCCAGCTATTGCACTGTTAAGAGCTCTTGCCCCTCGCAGTCCGAATTTCTTTGGAACATGCTCAGAAATGCGAACACGTACTATTCTTTCAGTTCTTCCAATGTACATGCTTTGGAACGTGCATGTAAAGTGGTAAATGCAGTTGAAGCTACTGAGAAAAGAGGACCTGTCAATTTTTGTTTGTTTGAGCGAGCAGTTCGTTTCACATAACATCGTCAGTTTTACTGATGGATAAGCCATTCTCAACGTGAAATTTACCCTGTGGTTAATTATTCCAGTGATTTCATCTCATTTAAAGCGCAAGTATATGAAGCAGGTTTTCTTTTCAAATCTGTTATACTTAAACCCAGGGTCAGTTTTGTCACATTTCTGGATGAAATTTGCCGGATATGCACCTTCACGTAGGCAGTTTGTAATGAGAGCACTTTCATCTCCCAGGCATTATTTTGAGCAAATGTTGCGTGTGCGGTCAAAAAAGGTTCATATAATACCCTTTTTGTAACTCATTGGACAGAAAATGTTGTAATCGGGATAAACTCCACTCCATGTATTTCTTGCGGTGAATGTGTCTTTGTAACATGCCATCTGAGGTTCATCTGATTCCAGTAGCTAAGAAACGAAATTCACCTCCTACTTCATATTCCATAATAAAATCTATATTTTTGTGTGCTTTGTTAAGTAGATTGAGTAGTATGTATCTGTAGCGTGGCGTCGAGTCCCAGTTGACTATGAACACCGCTACCAAGAAAGCACGTGCCAAACAAATCAGAAGGCGGATTAAAATCAAGTTTATTTAATTGGCGATCTCGTAGTATCAAATAAATACCAAGATCGTGCCAAGAAATGGTACAACCGAAAGCAGGAGAACGGAGTACGTGCGAACAAAGCCAAAAACCGCAAAACAAGGATGGAAGGTAATGGAAGCACAAAATGGCTGTAATTAGCACAGTTAAACAAAAGCACATTAAAACAAGCACTGGTACAGTTGGTTATAATAATAATAATTGTTTTCATTAAACCAATCGTGCTCTCGTGATAAAAGTAAGTCACTACATATCATTACCAAGGTTTGATTTGGTAATTTCGAATAAATTGAGAATTGGGTAGATTGTTATAAATAAATAATATATTTATAGATTGAGTAGGTTCAAAGCATGCTCATGATTGTGGCAGACAAGAGATTCATCATCAGTATATCTGCAGTGGAGTGTAGTTTCATTGATTGTGTGCTTTGAGCTTCCTCTGTTCCAGGTTTCCCATAAATATATCGGCCAGAATCGAACCCAGACGGCTACCCATAGCTAGTCCATCAATTTAGCGGTACAACACATTGTTGAATTGAAATTGTATGTTTTTGGTACACAGGAATAGGAGCTGTTTGGATTTTTGGATTGGAACATGCAATAGTTCAGGATGTTCACACATGATATCTACTGTTTCTTCCAAAGGGATTTTTGTGAAGAGAGATGAGACATTAAACGATACCATGAACTTATCAGAAGCGATTAAGTTGTCAAGCTTTAGTACAAATTCAGAACTGTTGTTCAAACTGTAGAGTGCTAGTTTCTTATGGATCGGTTTTAAGCACATAGTCAGTCAGCAGGCAAGTTTATGGAAAGGTGATTTGGTCATAGATAATATTAGTCTTATCGGGATGTTAGGTTTGTGTATTTTAGATAGGCCGTATAAGTAAGGTAATTGTGATCCTTTCGGTTTGAGTTCATTGTACGTAAGATGATCGATTAAAATTTTCTTCAAGAGTTATCTCAACTTTTTTAAAAGACACATCTCAGTTGCGTCTGTCAGGCCTATCTGAGTATCATCGATGATAAATCTAGTAGAATCATTGGCGAGACTCTAATTTAGGGACGAGCCAATCAGAAGCGTTCGAGTGATTTCAAGGTCATGGAGCCAAGTTCAACACGCGAAGCTAACATACGATCGGTTCACAGCGGATTTTAGAGAGTAGGTGACTCATGAGAGGTTACAACAGATGGGACGGCGAGACTCTAATTTAAGGACGAGCCAATCAGAAGCGTTTGAGCAATTTCAATTATTAGCCAATCAAAAGACAATATAAAGTAAAAATATATTATAAGAAAGTAATGAATTACAGTAGATATTCTTCTTTTACCTGATTTAAAAACTTGTTAAGGTTTGATAAAGGCTCAGAAGTTCTGAATTCATAATGCATATGGTATAGAAACTCGTCCATAGGGTTAAAGTTTAGGGATAGAGGCTAGAGTTAGGGTTAAAGTTAAGGTTAGGTTTATTGATATGCTACAACCCTAACCTAAACCCTAATCGTATGGACGAGTTTCTATACCATATGCATTATGAATTCAGAACCTCTGAACTTTTATCAAACCTTAACAAGCTTAGGGTTTAGGGTTAGGTTTAAGATTAGTGTTAAGGTTAGGATTGGGTTAGGTTTTAGGATTAGGTTAGGGTTTAGATTAGGGTTAGGTTTAAGATTAGGGTTAGGTTAGGGTTCAGGGTTAGGTTGCTAACATGCGATCGGTTTACATCGGATTTTATAGAAGAGGTGTTTATTGAGATGCTACAACCCTAACCTAAACCCTAATCGTATGGACGAGTTTCTATACCATATGTATTATGAATTCAGAACCTCTGAACCTTTATCAAACCTTAACAAGTTTTTAAATCGTGTAAGAGAAGAATATCCACTGTAATTCATTACATACTTACAATATATTTGCACTTTATAGTTACTGCCTCCTGATTGGCTAATAATTGTCAAGGTCATTTAAGATTCGTTCAAAGGTCGTCCCTAAATTAGAGTCTCGCCGAATCATTTAAAATGGACATTACTTTGCTAATGGATTCATCTCTGTTTAGGATGACTACACCGAAACCCTAAACTGGACGCAGTAGCAATGCTGTTTCGTCTTTCATAAGTTTTCTCATTGCTTGCTAATGATCTGTAATCAACACTTTAGGTTGCGGGACTGGTGTCGTAACGT